AACATCTATAATGAATTTTAATAATTTTTTCGGATTTTTATTAAGGTTTAATCCGACCGATTTTCAATCCAGAATGCCGATTCGCCGATCTGGATGGGTTTTTGAGATATCCGATCCGAATCACCGATCCGTTTTTTAAACCACTGCTCCAAAGTGTCCACTTCTCCTTTCTCCTGCCTCTCTCTCTAAATTGTCCGATGAAAAGAGCCTTAAAAACTTCTGCAAACAAAGAGACCCAACAAAATGTATTGACGCACAATCCACCAGTAAATATATTTTACTAAAGAATGCCAACTCTGTATGGTTTTTCTATTGAAACAAACGGATACTGGATAATGACCAGCATAGGAGGAGCGATAATCTCAAGAGCAAGCGTATAATTCAAATTTTAATTGAAGATGGAAGAAACAATCCTCACTGAAATAGTAAAACAGAGAAACTCAAATTCTCAGATATTTATGTGCTCTAGAGAGACTTGCACTTTATACGATCCTGTCTAACTATTTGATTCTAGAGAGACTTGCACTTTATACGATCCTGTCTTAACTATTTGATTCTTTGTGAGAGAAACAGATGGTACTTTTGATCGTAGAGAGCTCAATTTATTTGCATTATTGATGGTGTACGTCCACTCCTCAAGAAGCTCAATAGATCCTATGGTCACCCTTCTGTTGCAAGAAATAGAAAGTATAGTGAGTAAAGAAAGAGAGAGAAGTACGTAGATGAGCTCAACAGATCCGATGGTCTCTCTTCTGTTACAGGGGTTACTAACAAACCCATGATCATAGCCATGAGCAGTTGGAAGAGAGAGGGAGAGAAGAAGTATGGAGATGGAGAGGTATGGAGAGGAGAGAGAAAATAAGAAATTGATTTTTCAAAGAGATCAGAGAGGGAAATAAAGGGGGATCCATAGAGACAATCAAAGAGGATATCTAGAGGGAGAGCAATTCTATGGTGCGGTAGAAGGTTTTAAGAGCAAAGTGGAAAGGAAAAAAAAAATCTATAAAACACACTGGTAACTGGGGCTTTGGGTGCGCTCCGGTTTCGCCAGTTCACCCACGGAATTAATTGACAGCGTGGAGGACTGCAGCTTCTTTACATATTTGTAACCAATTTGCAACCAATGGGCTTCACACCGAACCGAACCTTGATTCTTCTCGGTTGAATTAAACTTTTCTGTCATGGCATTAACCGCTCTTGATATTTTTGAGATTTCATTGCATCTTTGAATTCAAAGGTATCATGAGTATCATCTAAGTCAATAGAGTTTTCTATGCCCTCATTCATATAGACACAAAAATCATCAAGATAAAAGGTTGGAGCTCTAAACTTGCTTTGGCCACTCAGGATGTGTTGTCGTTTCAACACCATCATTTTGGTTATGGCCATTACTATCTATTGATAGTGATTGTTATACATCAACTATAATCTTAAGTAGATCATCGTTATTTTCTATAGGTGAATTTTCTACACCGAGTTCTTCCAGGAAATCAACATCTCTGTAGTGTTAAACCTACCTTATCTCAATCTCTCTAGGTATTTTTTTCAACTTTTATTAGAACTCGGACCGGGCCTAGGACAAAGGCCGCCTATACCAGGCCCAGTCCGTCACCGGGCCTAACAGAGTTAAATCCGCGTTCTCCAATCATGCAACCTAAATTGGTGGTTATCATCTCCACCTCTCTCTCTGGCTTTCTCCAAATAAAACGCTTTATTAACTCCCCTAAAACCTCCTATACTTCTTCTGGATTTCACTCTATCTCCTCCCCAGTTCCTATATCTTTTTTTTTCACTCTAAACCGATAAAAGCAAACCACTGAAGAAACAAAAAAATCGATGAAGCAAATCTGTAAAATGGATTTATGATAACCCAAGTTTTGCTGACTGCTGACGCTTTCTCAGTTTACAAGTGAAGAGCTTAAAAGGGCTACCCCAAAGGCAAAACCGCGATCTTTTCTCTCATAGTAAATCTCAGTTTCTCTCTCGCTCGCTCGCTCTAGAATCCCGATCTCAATGAAACCCCTACTCAGAACCATAACCAGAGGCCTCTCCTCCATGCCTTGGATTTCTCCTCTCCTTCACCCTCCAAAACCACCACCCTGCACCTCTCTAATCACTCCTCCTGAACCCCCTAAACCACCCAAGTTCGTTAACCATGAAACCGCAATCGAGCTCATTAAAAACCAGAGAGACCCACAAAGGGCCCTTGACATTTTCAACAGAGCAAAGGCCCAAAGAGGCTTCTATCACAACCACCAAACCTACTCCACCATTCTCCACGTTCTTGCAAAGGCTCGCAAATTCGATGCAGTGGAGGGCATTCTCCGGCAGATGAGCCTTGAGCCCTGTCGTTTCTATGAAGGCCTCTTCCTAAACCTCATGACCCATTTCTTCAAATCCCAAATTCCAAACAAAATTGTTGAAACTTTTTACAAAATCACTCCTTTTACAGGTTCTCGCCCCTCTCTTAAGGCCCTCAGCACTTGTCTCAATTATCTTGTTGAGCTTTACCAGCTCGACATGGCTAAGACCCTACTGACCGATCTTAAGAACCTCAAGTTAACACCCAACACCTGCATTTTCAATATCTTTGTGAAATATCATTGCAGAAACGGAGATATGGATAGCGCATTCTCAGTTGTTGAGCAAATGAAGATGAATAATTGCGCCCCTAATGTGATCACATACTCCACTCTCATGGGTGCATTGTGTGATGATGGTAGGATTGAGAATGCCATTGAACTGTTTGAGAAAATGATTTCTCAAAACATTTTGCCTGATTCTGTGGCATATAATGTGTTGATATCTGGGTTTTGTCGAAAGGGGAACATTGAGGGGGCCAAGAAAATCATGGGTTTTATGAGGAGAAAAGGGTGTGAACCCAATCTCTTCAATTACTCGACCTTGATTGATGGACTGTGTAAGGGAGGGAGGTTAGAGGAGGCGAGGTCAACTTTCAAGGAAATGAAGCTAAGTGGGTGTTGGCCTGATTCCATCACATATACTGCCCTTATCAGTGGGGTTTGTAGAGAAGGTAGGGTTGATGAGGGGCTAGAATTGATGAGAGAGATGAAGGTGGGGTGTAAGATTGATGTTGTTGTTTTCAATGTGGTGATTGGGGGCCTATGTAGACAGAATAGGTTTGAAGATGCCATTAAGATGCTGGAGAGGATGCCCCATGAGGGTGTTAATCCAAACAAGGGCAGTTACAGGATTGTGTTAAATTTCTTGTGCACGGAAGGGAAGGTTGATTTGGGATATGGGCTGCTGAATTTGATGCTCGGAAGGGGCTTCTTGCCCCATTTCGCCACCTCAAACCAGCTACTGGTTTCTCTCTTTAAGGAAGGGAGAGTGGGTGATGGAGTCAAGGCTCTGCACAATTTGTTGGAGAAGGGGGTTATACCTGATTCGGGTTCTTGGGCATCCTTTGTTGAATCAGTTTGCAAGGAGAGGAAAATTTTGAGAGCAGTTGAATTGCTGGATGATATTTTGGATCACCGAACTGAAATTATCACTAGTGTGAATTCATCAATTGGTGGAGAAGCGGTTTATACCTGATAGGAATTTGTGATCTCCCTTCATTTCTGAGTTTTGGATTGTCACAGGGAAGTATATATATTTAGTTTATTGTATGATTCATGAAGACTCGGTTGAACATGCATCAAATGGCTCCCAAGAAATGTAATTGGTGGGAGGGTGTTGACGTAGCATGAAATTGCCCCCTCAGATGCAACTTTGTTTACTCGTATCTCTTAACAACGGAATCTGCTTCAATATCATCTGTGATACATCAGCTTCTTTGAATTTTATCAAAGCTAGCCAGTCTCATGTTTTGGCTGAAATAAATTGCGCAGTCATATTTCACACATGATATCAATGTAAAACCTCCTAAGAACTGATTGAAAAACACATTCGTGTTATAGTGATAGATAACAAAGTAAATTTTTCTCGCAGATAACTGGGTTCTTATTCATTTGGTTGTAATGGAACCTATTATATGAACAGTTGAGTAAAAGAATGCATCATATCAAGAAGGATTTTGCGTTTGGTAAACTTGACATATGACATCGATCTTTGATTCTCAATTCTCATACCTTGAGCTCACAAAGCAATGGGCTTATTGGCCTAGAGGTTGGCATGCGATGCCATGGCTGTGGTTCCAGTCCTAGCTTAGCCACCCTGAAACGGGAAGCTCAGCAGCAAACTGCGATGTACCATAGGAAGTTTTGAGGTCTCTTACTAGATTGTTGTAGCCATGAGAGTTACTCAGTTCAACATTTTTGGGATATGGGTTCGATTTTCTTCACAGCAGCACATTCACCCAACTTATAGGGTGAGTCTAGAGCAGGCACCATGCTTGTTGCGAGTTCAAGTCCGAGTTAGAGATTTTTCAAACACTGCGTAAAAATACGTTGAGAGTTGTTTCGTTTTTCAGAATTTTACATGGCCTAAGGTCTTACACCGAATGAGAACCTCGGCTCAGTGGTTTTCAATATGCCATGAAGATGCAAGTGCTTGACCAGATTAAAGGGTTTTCTCTTTGCCTAAAGATTTTCCCATCAATTGATGAAAAAGCAAAATAAGGGTGATATGGACATGAGGGAGCCTTGGGCACAGAGGCAACGCCTGCCCTCTCACTAAAAGATCATGTTACTCGAAAACTTGTTCTGATCGTTAGACAAAGGTTTTAAAAAAAATTAAATTAAATTAAATTAAATTAAATTGGATCGGTGACCTAGATCATCCATCTGAAAAGCAAGTCAAATCGGCAGATCGGCGATTTGGATCGGAGAATAGGTCATCGGAAAAGCCAGTTAGATCGGCAGATCGGCAATTTGGATCGGAGAATAGGCAATCAGCTAGATCCGACCTCAACAATTGTTCAAAAAACCAGTAAAAACTCATTATAAATGATGCGATTTGGGTTTCCAAGAAAAATGGGGTGATATACTATAAATTATCATTATCCTGTAAAAATAGTGAATATTGAGATGACGTTTTTATTTGAATATGTGTTGATCACATTCCAGTTGTGTTTCCATCCATTATTTTATAGGGTTTTTCTCTCTCTATAGATCATTAGGAGAGTTTGTTTGAATATTTATATAATATTCTCTGATTGTGTACTTGTAACTTCCTGTGAATAGATCATACAATTTAGTTCCTAACGATAAAAAGTTTTATTGTGAGAACGAGTGTTGATGGTCTTTTTTTTGTCCAGAGAAGACAAAAATTTTAACAACAATTTCTTGTGTTCCCATTTTTCAAGAAATTTTTTTATGTGAGATCAACAATCTTGTTTACATCCATTCTGTTTTAACAATAATCTTGTATGTAATATTTATTCTATGTAGTATCAATTATCTGTAAGCTGAAAAAAACATATTTATTTTCCACATCTCCATCTAGTAAACATCATATTTTTCTCCATTCATACTTCTAGTTATAAATTTTCTCAATAAATTTGTCACAAGAAAGAATTTCCAAAAAACACACTCTTATATCAATTTTGGTTTTTCCTAAATAGCAAAATTTTGAAATTCTTGTTTGGAAATCTAGAGTCACTAGTTCCTTGTCAATTTTCGCATGGTTTGAAATCAAGGGCATTGCACTTAAATAATTGCAAAGTGATTTATTTGTGGAAAAGTGTTCGGTGAGTAGGCCGACTCACATTATTTTTGTACAATCTTCCTACAAAATATATCTAAAGGACCGGTTTCGATGTAGCCAAACCCGCATACGTAGAAATACGTGCCTCTTAATAAATCTATTTTTGAGATGGATTTTAAGACTTAATTTTTAAGGACATGTAGACATGAAGATCGTGAATATAAAAAAATAAATAAATTTTAAAATTAAAAATAATAATTTTAGTAAGAAAACATTTGGGCCGTTAGTTTCCATTGTCTTTAGATGGAACATCTACTTTCATCCACTCTCTGGACCGCACATGAAACAATATTCCATATCTAAAAGATGTATTTTCGATCCAAAATTTTAGGTTGGGATAATCTAAACCATGAAAATGATCTAAATTTGATTTTTTTTTCAAAAAAATATAAATATTTTTTTAATTCCTTTCTTCCACAGTCTAATTTAACTTTTAGTGGATGCAACATTTTTGGAACGTTAGATAGATAAGGGACCGCATGATAATGTATCTTACAATTTTAGAAAGATAAACTATATCAATTTTTAGATAGAAAACTACTTGAAATTTTTTAGAGAGAATGCCAATTTCAAATTCTAGGCACTCTATAGCAGTTTGAGATAAGGTATTAGAGAGTCCAAGTGAAGTTGGATCTTTAAAAACCGAAATACCTGTCTATAAGTGGTAGGGTTACATTGCTAAGTTCTTGTTTAGCTAATTTACCACTCTACTTGATGTCTCTTATTCAAATGCCAGCCTTAGTGATAAAGAAACTTAAAATAATGATGCGTAATTTCTGTGGGGGTCTTTTCGAGAAGAAAGGTAGTATCACTTATTTACGTGAGATCGTGTTTGTACCCTTAAGAGTGAAGGTGGTCTTGGCATTAGAAAGATAAAATATATGAATGATGGTTTTATTTGTAAGTGGTGATGGAGAAGTTTTCAGTAGATCAGCTTTAGTTTCAGGATTTGTCTTCGAAATATGGCCTGCATAGGCAGTGAATGTGCTTAGGAGGGGGTAGAAATAGAGATATGTCTTCTTTGTGGACGTCTATTTACAACTATAGGCCGATGATTGCGAGTTATTTTTGTTGGAATATTGGTTGTGGTGACAACATCTCTTTCTGGCATCATAAGTAGATAGGTGATGCCCCTCTGAGGCTTACTTATCCGAAACGTTTTGCTAAAGTTTCGCAACCTAATGCTAAGGTTTCTGATATGGTTGAAGTGAGAGATAATCGTGTTGTTTAGAGTATTAATTTCCCATATAATAAACTGAGTGAAGATATTTATCTTCAATGGAACGGTTTGATGGGTATCTTGGATTCAGTTTATATTTCCCAAGGGGCAATAGAGGAAGTGATTTGAGAAGTTGAGTGCGACGGAATATTTTCGATCAAGTCTAGTTATAAGTTCTTTTTTCATGATAGATGAAGATGGTCTTGACCTGCCGCAGCCAAAATGTGGAAATGACCTGTTCCCCATAGGGTGCAGATGTTTTTATGGTTAGCTATCCAAAATAAGATCCTGATGGTGGATAATTTGATTAAGTGGGGTAAAATTTTACCTAATATATGTTTGATGTATAAAGCGGATGAAGAATCTGGGGAGCATCTTCTCATCCACAGCCACGTTGCCTCAAGAATTTGGTACTGATTATTTGGGCTACTTGGGGTTCATACTTCACTACCCCAATCTGTGATGGGTTTAGTGTCACAGTTAGCATTTAATCATTTACCTTCCAGAGGTATTTTGGTGTGGCAACTAGCGAGAGGGGCAACTCTATGGGAACTATGGAAAGAAATAAATAAACGGACTTTTGAATGAGAGAGTTTATCTTTGAAGGGTACTAAGTAAAGTCAAACTGTCTATTTGGTCTTGGCTTTCAGTCACTAAGGAGGGTTGGGGAATTTCACAACCATATGTTCTGTTGAATTTGCCAAATTTATTTTTGATGGGTAGAATAAAGATGAAACCAAGGAGTATTTGGGTGGCACCAAAGAGCGGAGGATTTAAGTTAAATTTTGATGGGAACTCTCTGGGCAATCCAGGTTTAGCAGGCATTGAGGGTGTGGCGCGAGACTATTTTGGAGAGGTCATCTTCTTTTATGCTAGCCCTATTGGTATAGCCACAGCTAACCGATCGGAGTTATTGGCTTTGTTGCATGGGTAAAAAAAATTTATCTTTAGAAACATCGGGAATAGCTACATTATTGAAGGAGATTCAATAAACGCAATTAATTGGTGCAAGAAGGAACAGCATATTTCATGGGAACTAAGGTCCAGCTGGTTGCAGATTATGGATCTGGTTGTTCCACTTTCAATTTCTTTTTGTCATGTCTTTCGCGAGGCAAATTCCCTCGTTAACTTTCTGGCTAAAGGGGGGACCTCTTTGTCCGCTCTAGCTATCTCCTATGATGTAATTTCGTTTGAGTAGATTTTATAAATAAAGTAAAGAATATTTGTAAAAAAAATAAAAGAATTTTAGAGAGATGAACTATACCAAATTTGAAGTTCTAGAGAGATAAAGTATCTTAAAAATTTAAAGAGCGAAACTACATCAAAATTTAGCGAGAAAAATTATCTAAATTTTTTTAGAGAAACTATCTCAAAATTTATAGAGAGAAAACTATATCAAATTTTAAGTTTTAGACAGGAAAACATCTTAAAAAAAATTTACAGAGAGAAACGATCTCAAATTTTTTTAGAGAGAAACTATCTCAAATTTCAAGTTTTACGGAGAAAAAGTATCTAAAAATTTAGAGAGATTAACTATATCAAATTTTAGAGAAAATTTGCCTAAAATTTTTTAGAAAGAAAACTGTAGCAAATTTTAGAGAGAGAAACCACCTAAACAATTTTAGAGAGAGAAACCACCTAAAAAATTAGAAAGAGAAACCACCTAAAAAATTAAAGAGAGAAACTATATCAAATTTTAGAGAGAGAAACTATCTAAAAATTCAAATAGAGAAACTATCTCTATATTTTTTAAAGAGAAACTATCTCAAATTTTTAATTTAAGAGAGAGAGTATTTTAAAGTTTTAGAGAGAGAAACTAATTGAATTCTTTGAGAGAAACTGTTACAAAAATTTTAGCAAGAGAAATTATATAAAATTTTAAGTTTTAGAGAGAGAATATTAAAATTTTTGAAAGATAAGCTATATCAAATTTTAGATTGAAAAATTATATCAAATTTTAAAGGGAAAAATTACCTAAAATATTTTAGAGAGACTTCTCAAAACTTTAAGAGAGAGAAACGATATCAAATTTTAAGTTTTGGAAAAACCATATTAAATTTATAGAGAAACAACTTGAAATTTTTTAGATAGAGAAACATCTCAAAAATTTTAGAAATAAACTATATCAAATTTCAAGGTTTAGAGAGAGGAAGTATATTAAAATTTTAGAGTGAAACTATATCAAATTTTAGAGAGAAATTACCTAAAAAAATTTACTGAGAAACTATATCAAAAATTTTAGAGAGAAAAACTATCTCAAAATTTCAAATTTGATGTATCCTCTCTGTGCATCTGTTTCCACTTGTGTTTGCCAAATATGGAAAAAAGCATGCTTAAGTATTTTTTTTTCCTATAAATTATTTGCGTATATAACTATTTTCATGTCAAACTTTAACGGGTACCAACGATCCCTAATAGCAAACCAGATTATACAAAAACGATGATCCAAATTGAGACTTGCATAACCTCGATACCATTCAAAACCATTGGGTATTCAAATCCATCCAAACAAATCCTACTTGAGTAGCTTGACATAATAAAGTTTTGAATTTGATTCAAAACCTGAGTTTGTTAACCCATGGAGCCAAACGAACCCTTTAAGGTGGGCCGTGGGATGGTAAAACTGCCGCACCGTGGGATGATAGAACTGCTGCACCAGGCTGTGGGCAACAAAGGTGGTGCCAGCCATAATAGGGTGCAACTCAAAAGTAATAATAACCCTAGCCAACATGCTGAAGAGGTACTCGTGATTGTATCCACGTACGACCAAGTGTATAAAGCAATATGAATAGGCTCTGTCCATTTATGAATATGAAACACTTGAATTACACAAGGGGTTGCATACTTGTTTGCTCCATTCTTCTTGTGATGCTTCACACAGTTTGACTACGTTCGACCAAATGAGAAGTTAACCCCCTTGACACCACCCACCTGAGCCCATGGTAATGTGGATAAGTACAGGGTGAAGACAACCAGTAAGGGAGGGAAATTTTGTACAAACAAGAGGATGAAAGAAAGATTGATATTCTTTTTTGAAGAAACAAGGGACTAGAAATTATCAAAAGTACCAAGGACTTCCCAACCTAGGTTGAAGTCAGTTGCGGTGCATATGGAGGGGTTACAAACAAATGTGCACCCCATGACACATTTCATGCGATTGAATGAATAGGCAATTTACAAGATGATATCAGGGACACTTAGTATCCTTGCAGATGTAAGAAAGTCTCAAAACACATAGTTATAAGTGCTGAATGACATTCAGACCCATCTTTAGAGTAAGAACATATACAATTTCCCCAGTGTCCCCAGTAGTCCCAATGTCCACATCAACTCCAAAAAATGCCAAATGGTGATGATATTACTAGTAACAACTAGAAGAATTGTGTGAAATAGGCGAATTTATCCAATTGAGATATAATTTCTTTAGTTGAAATTAAATGGTTCTAAATTCCTTCCTGACAGAGTTCTTGTATGAGTAGTTAAAATATATAGAGAGGTTGTTCAACAACGGAAAGCATGGGAGAGAGAGAGCATCCATGAAAGAAAACCTGATGGAATCTGCACGAGTGAATGTACACTGTTCATGAGTTTAAATGAGGTCAAGCGAGCTAATAACCACTATGAGACTAGCACACACATTCATGGAACTACTGCACAACTTTCTTCTAACAATGCTATCTCGAACAGATGATTAAGATTACATCAAAGATTACGTCAAAATATATGCTCAGTTATCTTCATGTTTGCATGGCTCTACCACAATTGAGTGCATCAACTGGAAAAGAAGATCTTCAACAAATCCCCACCTATACAGGCCATCTCAATTGGTTCACCCTGAGCAAATTTTTTGTACTAAGCATGGTTACAACACATCTTCTTGCTACACAACAAAATGCCCTTCTTTGCCAAATCCAGCAGGTAATCTAAACTACACAGCCATCTCATGATACAGGGAAGTCTCTCATCCCAAGGCCATTGCATGTGAGGATTAGCCCCTGGAATCGATGCAGATACTCCTGAGTAGGATAGGGATGATTAGGCCAAGGAACATAGACATCTCTCTCTCTCTCTCTCTCTCTCTCTCCACAGAGGAAACAACGCAGAAAATTATTATAATAAAAAAAGGAGGTTCATAGTATCATACAATGCAACTGTAATCTTGGATGTGGAGGACACCATGCCTATCGTATACCCTCTTTTTTATGGGGTCGCTCAGTACTGCAAATGATCCAATGTCCATTTCTATCAGTGTTAGCAACACGGTATGAGAAAGACTAGTCACTAAATATAAAAGGACTTGTGAAAGAGCACAAGATTTCCCACAAAATTTGGAAGGGAAAACAAAAAAAGAACAGTGTACCATGAGACCATTTATTTTTGGTACAAAGTGGTCAAAATTAATCTTGACCATTGGATGTGAAATTAGATGGATGCATTTATTGCATAGACCAAGCTCAAACTTCAAAAGAAATTTTCTCAAACTTTGTAACACACCCAAGCTATCAAATTTCACATCAGATGGTTGTACATAATTGCAATCTCCTTGTATAAAAAGTAAAAGGTCTCATTGTATACAATCCCCAAAAAAAACCATTAGACAATCATCTATACCTTGAAACAGAATATTTCATTCACAAGATACATCTGTTGAATTTTGTAACAATTTTCATCTTCATTACAAGTCTACTGCAGTATTACCTTTGAATTGTAAAAGCTCATCATCCTAAATAGCACAATGAATGCAGCACATCAAACTTAGCAATGCACATCCAACTTAGTTATCTTCCATAATCCCCACTTGAGCTGGTCGAATATTGCAAGAATTGTTTCCCAAGTACTCGATATTCTAGATAAATCTCCATTATAACCATATTTTCCTGGTTAAAGTCGCTTTCTCAAATATAGAATGAAACACCAAACATATGCATGTTTGGTTTCTCTTTAGGCATCAACATATGGAAGGATCAAAGAGATTGTGTTCTCTTTTTAATAATTTGCAGAAGAAAATAAAATGCGACCATGACATGCTCTCAAAATGCATAAAATGCCCCAAATCCTCAAAATTCATTTTCCAAAGTTCAAGATTCAAGCCTCTTGAACCTTCCTGACCATAGAAATATCAGTCTCCCAACCAATTGAGGCAACACCATGCCAAACCACCAGCCTAGACACTGAAATCCCATTTTAGGAACCCAAACCAAATAATTTTACTGAAAAAGTTAAAGGGTCCTGAACACACAGAACCTCAAGAGATACCCCAAACCCCAAAGAGTAGCGACACCTAAAACCCTAACTTAGCCCCCAGGATTCCAAGAAATTTGACAGCGCGAGTTACCCCAACATGCATGTCATGACTCCATATATAGGCAAAATCAACCAGTTCTGTTTTCTCTGGCTTTCAAAAGATGACCAGTCGTCTAGAGGATATGTGCCACTGTAGCACAAGTATGTGCACAAATACATCTCTAACGCATGTATTCAACACATCATACAGTTTACTCATATAATACATGTCATACTAGCAGTAAATTCTTGGCTTCCCTTCAAAAGCTTCACCATCATATTTAATTGCAACAATTGTTACAGATGGTTCCTATCCAAATCATGGTATTTCTTACATGCTCAATAAGCCCTTCATACCACATTGTTTGTTAGCACTACAAATGGACTATTCACCTTTATGACAGATATCGACTGCTTGGGTTCTGTATTTTTGTAGACATGTTTCTCATCTCATGAAGTTACCTAAGTAAAAGTTCCCCAAATTAGCTGTGAAGGTAAACTCCAATGACATGCATTCCATGTAGTGAGATTTATATGGATAAGGACATTGAACTTCAGATGCCCACCCCCCCCCCCCCCCCCCCGGACAACTCTTTGAGCAACAATATTGATGCCTAATAAAGCATGTCATCATCATCATCATCAAAGCATTTTTCCAACTAATTGGGGACTGCTACATGAATCCTCGTCCGCCATTCTACTTGATTATTTACTTTGTGGAAATTCAAACCTCGAAACATCACTCCGCTCATCTTTCCATTAATAAGCAGGGTGCTTGTTTGTTCACTATGGTAGTGATTCATGAAGGATAAAAGCTTTCAGTGAGCGAATTCACACCACTCAATGGATGCTCCCCAGGATTGTTTGAGCAGGGAGTTAAAGCTCATGAGTGCATTCTATTTATCTGTATTGCATGTATACACGAGTCCTGACAACTTTAGCAGTATTTTATGTCATCTTGTCTGTCGTCATGCATATGAGGTCGTCTTAAACACATCTTCACTCATTGAAATCATTCCCTTTATTCTTCTTCTTTGATCCAAAAACATTTTTTTGAATAAAAAACATTACTTCACATCGTGAAAATAATCATCAAATAAGAAGCATGGAGACCTACATAGAGGCAAGGTCATCCTTCACTTGTCCTCACATTAGTAACCATCCCAGGAACATGGTCTATTATTCGACAACATACAAAACTAGCACGGTATACTTTACTATCTAAAAGCAGTTATAAAAACTTCACCCGCTTTACCAGTAAAAAATAGTTCAATTCCCATGATATTTTCTCTTGCCACCCCTCTTTTAATTAAGGGTACCCTAGTCATGAACAAATCATATGTACTTGGATTGCGGCATTGTTTTTGTTGCACCCATGTTCTTTACAACCATAGTGGTTTATCGCAACATAAACTCTGTGTGCACACTATTAATTGATGTGCCAAAAGGTAATTTCTACAGAGGCATGTCAAACGTTAACCGTGAAAATGCAGTTCATTAGCCAAGTGCATCCGGATGAATTACCTAGAGACACTAAGCAAGCTGTGAAGGCAAATGAACATTTGTTACTTGTCAAAAGAACCGAAGCTTTCAAAATCATGATCTTTGCCACACCATATATTAGAACGCAGATATGTAAATGATAAGTCCTGATTATGTTCTTGGAAGTTTCATAATGAAATATAACTGTAAGTAGCATCATTAACTTATGAGCATGCAACTCAAACACGTCCAAGCGTTGCCCTGTTGCTTTACTAAGCAGCATATAAGCTTATAAGAGTGGCAAAGTTAGCATTCCATCACATAGTTAATGGGATTGTGACCGAACAAGATCCAAGACTGGGACCGGGATTCGGAGCATGTGATCTGCGACCAAAATTGGGATCAAATGGTCAATTATACAGGACCAAGCTCTATCTATTTAAAAATCAAGACCCCTGAGCACTTAACTAGCATACTAGTATAGTATATACTACTGTAACATACCACTCTTTATCCAATATTCTACTGCTATACTGTAATACGATGCCATATATACTATCTTTTATTATACTATACTATGTGCTACTAGATTTAAATCTACTACGTAGAACAATATAATCTATATTATGTAGTATATGCTACTATACTACATAATCTATAGATGAGACCCGAAACGGCGTCAAGACAAAGTTAGAACTTTGGAGGGATGCTCTAGAATCCAAAAGTTTTAAAATTAATCGGACTAAGACAAAGTATATGGAGTACAAGTTTAGTAATAATAAGAGTAAAAAAGATGAAGTAGTTAAGATTGGCGGCCAAGAAGTACAAAAAGACGTACTTTTGATATCTTGAGTCTATAATCTAGGAAAATTGAGAGATTGAGGAAGATGTCACACACAAGATTACAGCTGGGTGCGCGAAGTGGAGATGTGCAACTGAAATTTTATGCAATCGCCGCATACCGATGAGGCTGAAAGGTAAGTTTTATAGGATAGCGGTGAGACCAGTTTACTCTATGGGACGGAATGTTGGGCGGACAAAAAACAATATACTCATAGAATGAGTGTAGCGGAGATAAGGATGTTGAGATGGATGAGTGGCAAGACAAGAAGGGACAGAATCCGAAATGAATCCATTTGAGAGAATTTAGGCATGGCACCAATAAGCGATAAAATGAGAGAGTAGATTTAGGTGGGCTGCCCATGTGTGGCGTCGACCAAGTACAGCACCTGTTAGGAGGTGCGAGTTAGTTCAAGTGGAAGGATTGAAAAAGGGAAAGGGGTAAGCCCCAAATGACGTAGTTAGAAGTAGTCCGAAAAGATATGAAGACTTGTAGCCTCATTGAGGATATGACCTTTAATAGAGCAGAATGGAGAACCAGGATTCATATAGTCGACCTCAATTAATTGGGCAAACGCTAAAATGATGATGATGATGATGACGATACTACTATACTATATCACATTGCTATACCACACCATATTGCTATACTATAATGCTAAGAAACTGAATCTCGTGCAACTCATGACCTTAATCCCTAATAAGAAGGACAGAGATTCATAATTTAAGAATCATGGACGAGCAAGCTCTCCTTCCCCAGAGCAACGGATCAAGATTTTGGAGTAGAGTTGACCCCTTGGTAAGTGGATTCGGAAACTATGTCCCGGTGTGCCCACGGAATGTTTACTTGAGAAAATGAGGTCCTCAAGCACAGAATTCATCCATTGTCCATCACATGGGAAATGTTGTGCACAATATAAGAAGATTTCAATCATCATAACTCGTACTTTTCCTTAAATATAATCTTATTGCACACATAATAAGTCCATCTTGGAAAATAGAGAAACTATCCAGAAAGCAGCCTTTCGGATATGAAGGCCAACATTAAGGCTTTGAAGTCATGAAGTGGACTAATGGAGTCAAGATCCAATTCCCTAGTGACGTATAATAACCGCGCATTTATAGAGAGATTAACAAAGGGAAAATAGAACATGATCAATACAATCAAAATAACAACCACGACCATCCAAACAAATGGTTGATGGGTGATGGAGAGGAAGTAGGAATGTACACCTCATTAATTGAATTGTGTGATGGGACCCACTCCCCTCCATTACTCCCCATCCGTTGATGGCATCGTGATAACCTCATTGTCATGGTTATGATGACATATGGATCATATTATAGAGTCCCTTCAAAGCACAGACGAAATAAACTTATGCTCATACAAACAAGGTTATAACACACAAATATCAAATAAGTCAACAATAAAATAAAGATTCTAAAATAATCAACTATCCATCAAGAAATGATACTTAGATAATCAAACAGAGACAATTTGGAATGGGGTTGAGGTCGCGGTGGTAGCACCACTTAAGCCTCAGCTACCAATCTAGGTTTCCATTCCCTCTGACGCAGTCGAAAACCGCTAATTATTTCTAAAAACAGGTAGGGGCCCGTATTCCCCACTGATCTACCCAAAAAAAAAAACAGAGACAATTTGGCAAAATGTCACCCCAGTGTCCTAAGCTTCAGCAAAAAATTTGCATAGGGGGGCAATAAACCACATAAACATAAGCACTACTCAATTCGTAGAAAACTCACCCTTATAAGCCTCATTTATCTCTTGAAATCTAATGGTTGCACCATCTTCACTCCTCTTATCCGGATGCCATTTCTGTTAAAAAATGCAAAGACTATCTGAGTCTTAAATACGTTAACATGGAAATCAACCTGGATAAAGTATGAGGTCATGTTGGTCACCTAGGGCTGCCTTAAGCAAAAGGAACACACATAATTAATTTTTTAAAATAAGCCATAAAATCCTCTTAATTAGTGTGAGTGTAGTCCAAGGTTTAAGGCCCAAATAAAAAGAAACAATATTGTATGGCTCCAATTTAGAGAAATTACCAAGCAAAAAAACCTGATATTAACCAAAAGTTTGCTACTAGATAGCATCAAACTATAAATAAACCTTGAGATGGACTGAAATATACAAAAAATGCTTTTTTTTTTCAATGAAAGAAACATACAAGAAATTCTAAGAGGATGGTGTTGACCAAAAAAATAAGTATTACCAAAGTGAATATGCCACCAAATATTCCTAATCATCCCAGATTACTACTTTGGGGAACAGTGCATATCCCAATTTTGCAGGCAATATCCAATAGTTTATGTTAATTTTTCCAAACAATAAAATTATTCAAAGAGGGAGACAGAGGAAAAATGAACAAAAGGAACAAGAAAGACAAATAAAAAGTTATTCTTAATAGACAAAATACAAACCAGAGCAAGGCGGATGTAGTTGGATCGAATGTCATCATTTGTTGCATCATAGTCAACTTCCAATATTTTATAGTAGTCCTAGAAAACAAGGCATATCAATTCGTGAATCATAAAGAATGAAAACTTAAAGGATTAAAACGACCAACGATAGCATCTTCTGAAGATATAGGATACTAAAAGAGCAAACAGAAAAACAAAACCTACCAAGGAATGTTCCCTTGGGCTGGGTGGTCAGGGTGGTAGAGCCACAATGTGACATCAATGGCTCGATCCCCACCATTTAACATTTCAGAAAAAGAAAAGGAGGGAAAAAGAAAAAAGCACCTACTGAGGTGCACCACAACATTATGAATATAGAATTACTGCATTACGATTATCTTTATCCAAGCGTAATATAAAACCTATCCATGAAGGTGTTTGTCATTAATTTTGCTAAGTCAATAGTCTAGCATTGTAGTTGTAGTATAATATGCATTACTATCTATACACTAGCTCCTTTTATTGCTTTTCAGAATTCTCAAATGTTTTAGTATTCTCAGGTATAAGACAAGCTGCAAATCATGACCAAAATCAATCTTAGTTAAGAGTCAAAATTTCAATTTTTAAAGCATTTAATGATTGTCTAAGGCCCGCTCTAAATAAGCGCAACCAGTGTCCAAGGATTCAAGAATCGGTGACTCAGGTTGAGTCACACAGACCCAACACATATGAAAATCCCAAAAATTGAGCGATCTATTGAGCATCAAGTTTCCCTTTGTTATTTCCCCAGAAAATCAACCGTGTCGAACCTCTGACTCTAACTCACCGATTCACTAGCTAAATCCGGGTCAATACACTGGTGAGTCCAAGCCCAAGACCTTGTTTACAAACACTGCATGTAACCATCATATTCCTACATTAATCTCACTTATTTCATGTGCTTTTATATTGGTTTTTAAAATATGAAATGGGCTTTTATATTTGCTTTCCTAAAATATAAGAGTCAGGGAAAATAATGGAACCTATGTCGTGTGGAGGATGGATAGTAAAGGTTACCACCATGCCATGCAAGCACATATTTATACCGCTACCGAATAATTAGTTATATGATAGTTATTAATAGGAGCATTATTTGATTAGAAAAAAAAATAACTAAATAGATGAGAATAATTCCTTGTGCAAGGAAAATGTCAAAAAAATTTATACAACTTTATTTTATTTTTTTTTAAAAAAATCCTATATTCTGAAATGTTAATTATATTTTGCTGGAATTTGAGCTTGGTTCATTCTTGGAAAATATTAATAATTCTACAAATGTAATTATAAAAAATATTGACAATATTAAGCAAAATATTTTTTGTATTACTAAACAAGCTTTAAAAGCATCATTTTGAAAATAAATAAAAAAAGAAACATGTATGCTTCTTATCTTTTTTACATAAAATATAAATATATTTCCATGTTTACACATACACACACATGCATGCGCGGACGTGTCAGAGCCGTACTGCATTTTTTGGCCAAAGTACTAAACACTCAAGAGATTTACTAGACATAAAACCCGTGTCTGTGTAGCACCCGGCCTACCACATATGACCCTCTATGCTTGATAACGGATGCAAGTGTACATCCTTACAATCACCAAAATTCTTCAATAGCTCATACAAGGAAGCCAACCCAGAACATGGAAGAGAGAAAGAGAGATTCCTACATCCATAACAGGCCCCCATAAAACCCAATCTTGTTGGCTAAAAACTTAGAATCCTTGGTTTTAAAGGAGCTTCGATGTGCTTTGGCCACTTAAACTCATTGTTCCCAAAAGAAAAAATAGTGTGCATTCAAAAGCAAATCAGCAAATTTTCAAAAAAATTTCAATGCTTCGTGAACAATCACTACCTGACCTATCCGGGAAAAAAAAAAATTTCTATATATATATATATATATATATATATATAAACAAAAATAAAATATTAACAAGCACAAAATTCTTCAATAGCTCATAAAAGGAAGCCAACCCTGTACATGGAGGAGAAAGAAAGAGATTAGCCGTAAAACCCAATGCCATTGGCTAAAACTTCAATCCTACGTTTTAAAGGAGCTTCGATGTGCATTTGCCACTAAAACTCATTGTTCCCAAAAGAAAAAATAGCATACATATATACACATATGTACTCAAAACCACATCAACAATTTTTCAATGATTCATGAACAATCACTACAGGAAAAAAACACAATTTAGCTATTTCTCCAAAAGAAGAAAAAGAAAAAGGCTCCTAAACTAAAAGAAAGAGAGTAAAACCTAAAATCAAGAACTTCGGATACTATCAAATGTTTGCTAGGCGCTTTGGGTATGAATTCAATAACCAAACTTTCACAAGTACAATATAAACTCCCAAAAATAAATCACTATATTGATATATCAATATACCATTTGTAGTTACTGGTCAGAAGTTAGGGTGAGAGATAAATTCAATATCATGGTGGATTAAATAATTTTCATTGAAATTGCATAAGTTAAATAACAAATTGCAGACTTACCTTTGATTTAGAGAGTATAGAGAGAAAATCGAATTCGACTGGATTATCTTGCCAGGGCTCTTCCCAAACCATTTTTCTCCGTAGCCACTTTCTCTCTCTAGATACCAGATTTTTCCGTAGCCACTTTCTCTCTCTGGATACCAGAGGGATTCAACGGACGAACAGGAGGAGGGAGCAACGTTCCCCACCGAAATGCCTAGAAAATGGAGTTTCTCTCACTTAAATTCTTGAAGAAGATAGAACTCTCTCTCTCTCTCTACAGAATGACTTTGCCGCTGAAACGTGTACGAATACGGCTGATGTCTGTCTTTTGAATGAACGGCTGCGATCATCCACCAATGATACACTGACTTCGGAGAATCAAACATGTAAAGGAAAAAGTTTATATAAGGTTGCAACTTTATACTATTGAAATAACGCGCGTCTCAAAAGTCCTACAGGAGAGTATTCCCGTCTTGGGGAACCTTCAAATTAATCACCTCGACAATATGAACGTATACGCAGAAAAAAAAAGAATTTTAAATCCAAAAAAAGTGGTTCATCAATTAACAAATTATAAAGATTATCTATTTTCAAAATTTTCAAAAAATTATTTATATGTTCGGTATCATTTTTAAAATTTTAAATCTTATAACTGAGAATAAAAAAAAATTTTCAAGTCAACATAGGCTTTTGACAAGGAAACAACATCTCTAACTAAATTTTGTAGGTGCGCCTTGCTTTCGGGCTTGAGTCAAATGTTTAGACCCGAGACTTAAAGTTCGGGTTTGGGTCGACCCGACCTAGGATTTTATATATACTAGTTGAATAACATGCGTTGCACGTAGAACATAATGATCATTCATAGAATTCTTTGTTATGGTGAAATAACATGTGATTTTGTAATTTATTTTAAGGGTGCGATTTGTATAGAGTCGAGGCTCTAAACAATTAAATTAGAGCACCCCTTCAAATATTGTTGAGAAATGTTGTTTCAATGTTGGAAATCTTTGATTAGCCTTAAAATATATTTTCATTTTTAATTATAAAATTTAACGCTTCAAAAATAGTTTAAATCAAGCAGAAGTATGAAAACTTGAATAACTTAAACATTGACGATTCAAAAATGCGTCACAAGGTGCATTACTTCCAAACTTTGAAATCCATTTTTTTCGCAAGTCCATACATCTTGATGTCGAGATGATCAATTTGAGGATATTTGGGCATCAAAACAACCTCTTCTGGTGAAATTTTTAAGGTATGTTCACTATATAAACTTTTTCCTTATTGTAATAAAAAAATATTTAAGAATAATATGTAAATTTATGATAAAATATATAAGACAATAAAAGTTATTCTAACAAAAAGAAATTTGGAGAATTTGAATAGCATCTTAAAAAACATTCAAATAATTTGGAGATGTGACCTCAGACTGAGTTCAGTCTTTACAAACCACACAAAATCCTCATTACACTTGAGTTTCACTTGTTTTGAACAAAATTTGCAAGAACACCAGATTACATATCACTTGTTTTGCACAAAATTTGCAAGAACATCATATTACATAAAATTGTTGTAATATTTTGATTCAAACTCTCTCTTAACATTAATATTTTGATTCAAACTCACTCTCTCTCAATATTAACAACCTCTCTCTTAACAGTAATATTTGGGATCATATACAATAGGACCATTTGCCTTTTGGGATCATATACAATAGGACCATTTGCCTTTAAAATAGGGAGGTCACAATTACTTAC